AAAAGAATTCGGTTTCATCAAGAAGATGAGCCTTGTGTTTACAAGAAGGTGAGTGGGAGTGTAGTGGTATTCCTAGTGTTGTATGTCGATGACATACTTCTGATCGGGAATGATATACCAAACTTGCAATCGGTAAAGACTTGGTTATCCAAGTGCTTCTCCATGAAGGACTTAGGAGAAGTAGCCTACATCCTCGGAATAAAGATCTATCGTGATAGATCGCATAGGTTGCTTGGCCTAAGTCAGAGCACATACATTGACAAAGTACTGAAGAGATTTAGTATGGAAGAATCCAAGAAGGGGTTTCTTCCAATGTCACATGGTGTCTATCTCTCTAAGGATATGTGTCCTAAAACACCATATGAGAGAGATAGGATGAATAGGATCCCATATGCATCGGCAATTGGATCTATCATGTATGCCATGCTATGTACTTGAATTGATGTCTCATGTGCATTAAGCACTTGTAGTAGATATCAATCGGATCCAGGTGAGCATCACTGGATGGCTGTCAAGAACATTCTTAACTGCCTGAAGAGGACTAAAAACATGTTCTTGGTTTATGGAGGGGAAGATGAGCTCACTGTAAGAGGATGTAGTGATGCTAGTTTCCAAACGGACAAAGATGATTATCCTTTGCAATCTGGGTTTGTATTTTGTCTCAATGGGGGTGCAGTGAGCTAGAAGAGCTCCAAGCAAAGCACTGTAGTAGATTCTACAATAGAGGCTGAGTATATTGCATTATCTGATGCGGCCAAGGAGGCAGTCTAGATTAAGAAGTTTATCAACAAACTTGGTGTGGTCTCCACGATTGTTGATCCAATAGATGTTTATTATGAAAACAATAGAGCAATAGCTCAAGCTAAGGAGCCACGGTTTCACCAAAAGTCTAGACATATACTCGGACGATTTCATCTCATCAGAGAAATGGTTGAGAGGAAAGATGTGCAGACCAGTAAAGTGCATACTAATGACAATCTTGCCGATCCACTAACAAAGCCTTTGTCGAAGCAGAAGCATGAACAACACTTGAGGTCATTTGGTATTAAATACATGAATGATTGGCTATAGTGCAAGTGAGAGATTGTTAGAGTAGGTGCCATAGAGCTAATCAATTATTATAGAATTGACTCTTTGTAATAATGTTCATTGATCAATAAAAGACAATTTATTCTATATCATTAAATCATATCTATATGTATTGATATATGTCCTAAGAATGGTAAAACCGTGATGAGGGTATCAAGTGTTTCAAATTTTGATAGTGAGAACCCTATGAGCACATATGGTGGCCATTATAGAAACGTCAGTAGCCCTAGTATTATTTTGACCAAGGGCACAAATAATATAGTAAGGCTATCATAGTGTTGAACAACCTTGTCGAAAGGTAGTGATTGATCTCACTTGTCAAGGTTGTTTGCTGACAACCTGGTGCAACACATGGGTGCTTGCTGTAGGCAAGTTTACTGAATTGATCGATCAGAGGATTCCATATAGATGGTAACCCTAGTGTCTATGGAACAAATCCTCTAATGAATGGAAGTGCATGAGACCACTGGAGCGCCCTGTGCATCGATTGGTGTAGTTTGACACTAGCCCAACGCAGTTCTATTCAAAGCTATCAATGTGGTAGTGATTGGTTGCATCGAGGAGTGTATCAAGACTATGGTAGATCGACAGAGGATTCATCACTCCTAGGTACGGGAGAAGTTATCTCACGGCACAATTTAGTAAATGGAAATGACACTAAAACTGTGACCATAGTGGGATTGAGTTGTTGCTCAATCTAATTTATTATTCTGGTCATTGGTCCAGTAACTGAATACAAACATATCAAGAGTAACTGAGGTTGACACTATTTCTGTACCTTAGTCTCAATAAGTTAACAGATGATGAAAGGATTTGATTGCATGGTAACCATATCGTTGACAGGTAGCAATTTCGCTGAATCTGAATCTATCAGGTGGCCATGATGCCTTTCTAGGGGCCAATCTTAGTCTGTGTGTAGTAAGACGATTAATTGAGTTTAATCGCGATACTACTTACTACCGGTATGATGAGAAGCCTACGGGTTATACACATAGAAGATAATTTAAGAATCAGTTTATACAAGGGGTGTTTTTGTCTTTTAGGGCAAAATGGTATTTTGGTAATCTCACAGTGCAATTAAATTTTTGATATTTAATTTGATGTTAAAATTAAATAAGTGAGATTATATTTAAATATATGTACGCATTTATTTAAATGAATTATTATTATTATTATTAAATGTTAATATATTTTATAAATATATTAATTGATTTTAATTAGAATAATAATAATTAAAATAAAATACAAATTGGGAGTGTTTGGACATAAGGGCTAGTTTGGGTTGGAGCCCAAGCCTATTCTTCATAGGAATAGGGTTTTACACATGCACTATATAAGTGCATGTGTATTGAGAGAAAAAAAATGAATTTTTCATTTGTGTGATTATTCAATCATTGAAAGGAGGCAGCCTTCTCTCCCCATTTTCTCTCTATTCTCACTCCACCCTTGGTTTATTGAATCAAAGTTTTCTTTGATTCAATTTGGTTCTTGAAGCTAAAGAGGATGTAGCAAATCCCTCTTTAGATCTTCGGGTTATCTTCGTGTGGATTACCGCTGGTTCGATTCTATTTTAAATTGGTAGCGAATCCTCCAAACGTGCGTATGAACTCTAATTTTTACTTTGATCATTCATATTACTGCAGAATTTTTGATTTAACATATAAACTATATAATATGTACTCTGATTTTGGGCATTAAGGGAATCAATTTGTCCTTTAATTTTTATATTTCTACTACGTTGGGTATATTGATTCCTTACACATCTTGCTGTTGGCCTAATGAGATTTTGATACCTTTTCTTGAAGTTACTCTTGATAGGGCAACATATAATTGTCCATGGGTAAATACTATTAGGAAACGGTCCATGTACGCAGTGGAAAACAAAAAAAACATAACACAAGGATCGTTCCCAAAGAGCCAAGATCAAGGGTATAATTTTATAGTTTTATCATAATAAGAATTTGCAGAAATATGAATCATGAGTTTAGAAAACCATACGCACATTTGGAGGCTCCTCCAACTTTGCCTCTGAACGTGTTTTGCTATCGACCCAAGTGTAGGATCGAACCGATGTAGTCCACACGAAGACAATCACAAAGAACTAAGGAAGGATTTGCTAGATCCTCTTTAGCCTTAAGAACAAAGAAGAAAATCAAAGAAAACTTTGATTCTTTGCAAAAGCAAAACTGGCGTGAGAGTGAGAGTGTTTTGGGGCTGTGTATTCTCTTTTTCAATGAAAGAATGAATGAATGAAAAGTCTCTCTCTAATTTTCCAACTAAAACCTTTTCTTTTATAGTCAAATTTCAATTGCCTTATTCTCATAGGGAATAGGCTTGGGCTCCAACCTAAACACCCCATGTTACCAAACACTCCCAATTAGATATTTATTTTATTTCATCATTATCTTCAATTAAAATCAATTAATATATATTTAATATATATATTAACATTTAACAATAATGATAATTTATTTAAAAATATGCGAACACATATTTAAACGTAATCTCACTTATTTAATTTTTTCTAACAAATTAAATAAAGGCTACGACCTTAGCAAATTTAATTGCACTGTAAAATTACCAAAATACCCTTTCACCTAATAAGACGAAAACGCCCTTCTTTCTTCTTTAGTCTTAAATTATCTTCTATGTGTGTGACCCATAGGCTCCTCATCATACCGGTAGTGTATAGTATTGCGATTAACACCAATTAATTGTCTCACTAATACACAGACCAAGATTGTCCCCTAGCAAGGCATCATGGCCACCCGATAGATTCGAATTCAGCAAAGTAGCTAACTGTCAATGATATGGTTACCGTACAATTCGATTCTTTCATCATACGTTATCTCGACGAGATGAAGGCATAGAAATAGTGTCAACCTTCGGTTACTCTCGATATTATGTATTCAGTTTCTGGACCAATGACCTGTATTATAATCTGGATAGAGCAACAACTCAATCCCACTGTGGCCACAGTTTTAGTGTCATTGCCATTTACTGAATTGCACCGTGAGATAACTTCTCCCGTACCCGAGAGTGATGAATCCTCTATCTATCAACTATAGTCTTGATACACTCCTTGATGCAGCCAATCACTATCGTATTGACATCTCTGAAAAGAACTGCATTAGCCCAGTGTCAAACTACACCAATCGGTGCACAAGGCGCTCCGGTGATCTCAAGTCTAAGGATCACATGCACCACCATTCGTTAGAGGATTTGTTCCATAGACATTAGGGTTACCATCCATATGGAATCCTCTGGTGGGTCAGTCTAGTGAACTTGCTGCAGTATGTCTGCCTACAGCAAGCACCCATGTGTTGCACCAGGTTGTCACCAAACAACCTCGACAAGTGAGATCAGTCACTGCCTTTTGACAGGTTCGTTCAACACTATGATAGCCTTACCATATTATCTGTGCTCTTACTTCAGAATAATACTGGGGCTACGGACGTTTCTAGAATGGCCACCATATGTGCTCATAGGGTTCTCACTATCAAGATTTGAAACACTTGACACCCTCATCACGATTCTACCATTCTAAGGACATATATCAATACATATTGCAATAATAATGATTTACGCGATATAGAATAAAATGCCTTTTATTGATTAATGAACATTATGGTCAATTCTACAATAATTGATTGGCTCTAGGGCATCTACTCTAACAAATACTTGATGTTTTATGTATAATCCCACCGTTTTAAGTGATTGACCCTGGCTTTTGTTTAGAGTCACGCAAAAGCTAACTGCAATTGGTAATTGCCTTCTCTTCAGTCTGAAGGGCCATTTCATATCTACATTGGACATTTTGTTATTCTAGGAATCACAACATTATCACCAATGTTTGACCTTGTAATAATTGTTGCTTTGTGCACCACTTCCCTAGATGAGTTACAATCAATCTAGTCCCATTGACCATCTGATTGATTTAGATTTCGTAGCAACATAATCAGAACTCCAGTTTTTAATTGCAATTCATGTTTTGGCATACTAGAGCACATCAAAGAGTTAAAGAACTCTATTGGATATAGAATATCATCATCATTTGAAGTCCCTTCTGCTTTGCAAGTGCTGTTTGAATTGTGATAGGTCTTTGTTTCTGATTGCAATTTTTGAATGATGTAATCATTCAATTCATGTGCTGTATCATTTCTGGCTATCAATATTGCCCTCTCTCTTATATAATCAACATTGCCTATCTCAGCAGATAGATTCGATAGAACAACATTCACAATTCTTTCTTTTGGATTGCTGTGTTGAGAAAGTTTCAAATCTTCAGGAATTTCTATAAAACTTTCATCTTCTGTTACTCCTGTTCCTTCACCAATTTATAGTAACCATCTGTCAAAAGTAGTCAACTCATCCAATTCTTCATTGCTTTGGAAATTCTTTTTCAATCTCATATTTTATGTTAGCTTCAATGAAGATAAACATGCTTGCATCACATCATATTTTTTCCCCTTTGGTATAACTGGTAAAATATGTTTGAAGTCTTCACCCAGTGCAACAGTTATGCCTCCAAATATTCTATCAGCATTTGACAGATCTTTATCAGACAAAATGTCCCTTAAAGATCTGTTAAGTGCTTCAAAGCAATACCTATTTGTCATTAGTGCTTCATCCCAAATTATCAAAGATGCTTTCAAAATCAATTTTGCCAATTGCGTCCTTTTTTTAATATCACTTGTACTCTCTTTAGTTATATCTAAAGGTATGCTGAAACATGATTGGGCTATTCTTTCTCCTGGTAACAGCAAGGCAACAATTCTTGACGTAGCAACAGTGAGAACAATTTTACCTTTAGACCTCAATTTTGCTATTATTATTGAGCATAGGAATGTTTTGCCTGTTCCAATATGCCCAAAAACAAAAATGGCGTTCCTCTTTCATTATAAACTGAATCAATGATTGAATTGTAAATGCCTCTTTGTCCATTGTTTAGACCACTGTATAAATCATTGTGCAGGATTTTGTTGCTGTCAATATCGTAATTCAACTCCTCAGTAATCAACTTATTTTGCGTATTTTCAAATTCAGGGCGATTTGGAATTGGCAGTCCATGAAAATCAGCCATTGTTTTCCCTCTTTTCTTAATGAAGTCTTCAATCTCAGTCAATGCATGATTGTGTAACTGTTCCCTACTATATCTCATCGTTCTCATTCCTGTTTTTTTCCTGAGATTATATGCGATGTCTTCAGATAGTTGATCTACATTTGCTCGGCATAATTCTATTGGGTTTACAACTTCATTAAATAAAAGAATTGTTACAAATAGCTGTCATAACTATGTTCCAGTAGCCCATATTGATGCTTCAGCCAGGCAATCATTCAATTCTCTGTCATCATCCAGTAAGCCTAATGCATAACATGCATCTTTGAATGTAGGATGTATTCTTCCATTAACAATTCTAATATTCTCAAATGATGTTGCTCCTCTAACCAAATTTAGCAACATCTGCAAATAATATTTCTCACTGCTACCTGGAAATGCAAAGTAAATTTTGCCAATAAATCTTTCACCTTCTCGTTGACTCCATCTCCTTTCTTTTTCATTCCAAACCCATTGTGTTGGGAAGTCAGAATAAGTCAATGATCTTTCCTCTTCATATTCTTGATTACATTTCATCCACTCTGTTAATTTTGTTTGAATAACAACGTTGCTCTCCAAATATTTTACTAAATTCTGATTTGGATCGAAGACGGCTATTTGTTCATTCTCCAAGTGGAAAGGAAGCCTTTCAACAGCTGGTTCTCTATAGTACATATCAAATTGATATATCCTCTAGCCAGCTTCCATGGCAGAGATATATCTATAGACGTAGTAATTGGATTTTTCAATGTTATATTCACAACAAATCATGACAAATATTATGATAACATTATATTTTATACTTCTATATACATACCTACAATCAACATAAGCTTTAATTTCATCCTCCTCTGTAATATTCGTGTATCTAGAATTCCCTTGGGTATTTTTTGCAACCTCCATAGAAACTATAATTCTGTCGGGTCCTTTGTTGACATACTTGAATAGATACTTGATTGATCTATGCTAGTTACAGATCTTAACATTTATGTGACCATCGTACTTGACTATCAGATTTCTATTATAGGGAACAACAAAGCGGTTGTCGATTTTGACACTTTTTTTCTTAATAAATGCTCTAGTATCTCGCCTTCTATATACTGGGTACCCTTCATCATCTATAGTCGTTGCATTCCCAAATTTATTTGGAAAATGTTTTTTGCATTTCCTATTCTCCATGTAGGGTGAATTTGTATTTAAATTTCCACATGGACCATGGATATTGTAGTTCCCAATAGCTACATAAGCAAGAGGATCGTTTTCTTTATCTGGTTATTCAATAGATATCATCATGTCAATCTTCAACGGCGAAGGATTCTGATATGAATTCATTCAACCTCAATTCATATATCACCTTATTTCAACAAATTTCAACTCAACCTAAGCTAGGATTCACTTGCAACACCCTAGCACAAATCCGGCCAACACTCCACAAGCACACACAACCCTTATGACAACTTTAGAACAACACTGTTATCTATTCTCAATCAACACAAATTGAACCACAAACAAAACAAGCCAAACCCGAAATTGAGATGAATGGTAACCAAATGGAAATAACTTACAAGAAAGATGTCCAAGGATCATTCAAGCCTAAAGGAACTCCACCAGCTTGAAAATTCAATCCATCACCAAGCTTGGCCGAAACTTGGGTAAAGGAATTCAAAGAGAAAAACAATTCTCCAAGGAAAACACTATTCATGCAATATTCATTGTCTAATTCATATTATGAAAGAGTGGCCTTTAAATAGGCTTTATAAAACATGAGAATTGCCCTAACAAATATTACATAAATATTACAAAATCTTACACAAAATACTAAGGGATAATTCTCCACCATGCAATTACAAAAATACAAACCATACCCATTTAATGCAAAGGACAACCACTCCTTAAATTAAGGATCTATGTCCCTAATATCAATTTTCTTGATTTTCCTTCACCAATTGAACCAAATAGCATCCAAAAATTGGGCTTGGACCAATTAAGTTTCTCTCCAGTTGATCTCCACGGCTTGGGCTACAAAAAAGGGCTTGTGCCATGTCTTGGACCCTTAACACATCCTGGACAAGTTTGTGAGCTTCCTTGAGTGCTTGGGCCAAATGTTGTCCTCCTTGTAAGGCTTAGGCTTCTTGAATCTTCAATGAACATTCTTGCACATTTAAAGAACACGATGGGCTTGGATTCTCATCAGATTCTTATATTCATGGTAGAGGAAAATCAATACATGTGCATGAGGGAGACCCCTTTTCTGGAACTCAATAGTATAAATAACTGGGAAATATAGTACAATATTGTCAGTAATTGTTGATATATTGTAATTTCATATTATAAATAAAAAATGAACAAATAGTTTAAAATAAAATGTACATATTATTCTTAACAGTACTTACTTGCCATAGTTTCACCAAAATATTTATCATTCTTTATTTCTTTCATAAGCTCAAGCAATTTCATCTCGAACACTCTGCAAATTGCAGCTACTCTCCCTTTTTCTTCACATTGACCAATAGCATTCTATATATATTGTATTACCGGCCACTTTGGATCACATGTGAATGTTAAAAAAATATCAGGATATCCATGATATCTGCAAATTGCCATAGCATCTTGATAATTCTGAACATGATATCATGGGCTGCCAGTGTGAGAGGACGGGAGCAATGTAGACTTTCCTATATTCTCTGCATTAACATCACCTTTTGAAATAGCATCCATCAATCCACTGTACAAATCACTTCTTAATTTTTTTTTATTATTTCTTATCCAACAAAACCTTTCCTCTTCAATAGCCATGTATGCATCTACAATATATTGTTGCAATAACCTGCTAGATTTTATCAAAGTGTGTCATTTATTTAATATATACTGCAATTGAAAGGCATAAAATTGTCTCATAGTTAGTCTATGCCTTGTAGAAGTTTCTTTGTCGCCTGATTTTCTATGCTTAATGTCGATCCTATATCCATCCTCTCCATGTGGAAACAAAATTGGATAACTTAATGCTATAAAACTGGGATGTAAGTTAGTAATTCTCTGTAAACCATTCTTTGAATGATAAACAATAACGTCCTTTTTAACATCTGATAGTCCAATATCACCAACAATTATTCCTGCAATTTCAGATGCAGTTGGCAAATTATATTGTCTTCCATCTTTTTCTCTATGAATTATAAATTGCAAGTGGAGTTCAAGAATATTATTTGATACAATATAGTCCCTGGCAAACCGAAAACTTTTAACCAACTCATTGTTCCTATCAAACATCAATTGCAATTCCTCAATGAATTTCATGACAACACTATTGTAAGTTGTTTTCTTTCCCATACAATTCAATCTGTGACTGGTTTCACATTGTGCATCATAAATTTAAAGTTGTGCAAAAGTAGGTTTCTTTCCAATAGGTGCAAGCAATGTCCCTATACGGTGATAATTGTGCCCACAAAGTCTAAAAATATATGGACCAGTATTTCTATTGATATCAGTATCAATGTCCCCTCCCATTGATGTAAATGAGAATATCAAGTTGTATATTCTTATCTTGTTTCTAAATGTTTTCCCTTTATAACCACTGTTTACATCCAATAATCCTTTCAATAGTTTAGGTGGTTCTTTCAACAGCGGTAACTCAATTTTTCCATCCATAAAGCATAACAAAAATATAGGAGTAGTTATCTTTCTGCTCTTAATATTCCTTTCTTCATACCACATGATTGCTCCGTAATGCTTGCAATTGTAAGATGGTACACCAAAGTTCAATGGTTCCAAATCCATTGACAACATAAATAACACTAATTTTAAACAAATATCAAAGATAATGACATTTTTACACAATTGAACAAACTGTAATAATTTGTTATGTAAATATATGTCTGAAGTTTATAACTTACTGTCACACATATTTCTGAAGGAGTAAGCTTTGATTTATATTTTTTTCTTTCATAATGACCAACACTTGCAAAATTTTATATACAGTCAGTTGGATTTCTCAAGAAAATGAAGAGACATGATTATATAACAACATGATTTTTTTGACCTCTCTTTCTTTTTAATAAAGACATTCTGTATTTTCTATTTTCCTTGTATATGTGATCATTATTTTCATAAGGGCCTAACAAATTTGCGAACCTACTTTTGATTCCAACATAGGTTCTGTTTGATTATTCGATACGTTTCCTGAAATTGAAAATAACAATAATACAATTGTCATACTATTACAAAAGGGATAGGAAAACAATAATTGATTTATGTAATGATTTATGAATTACCTCTTTTTCTCTTCGATCCAGACATTTTGTGATTCATACTATCCCCAGTTTTAGTTTTAGCAACTTTTGTAGCTCTTTGTTGTTTCAATACAATCATTCTCAATTTCCTAATTTCCTTGCATACTCTTCTTCTCAATTCACCAGCAGTTATGTTTCCAGAATCAAATTCCAATTTGTAACTTTGTATCGTCTCCAAATATAATTGTACACTTGTTGAAACTCCTTCAGCAGTTTCCATACTATGCTTTTCCACATCACCAAACAAAATTAGACTCTAACAATTTAATATTCACTGCTTTTTCTTTTATAACACAATTATACACCCATACTAATAATAATATAATAAAGTTAAGAAAGCGAACATACATCATGTCTTTTACAATTGGAAAAAATTTGGTTCGGCAAAAGCTTATGACATTGCTAGATTTTTGTATTATGGTTCGGCATAATTATAAATTGCTGTCAATATCGTAATTCAACTCCTCAGTAATCAACTTATTTTGCGTATTTTCAAATTCAGGGCGATTTGGAATTGGCAGTCCATGAAAATCAGCCATTGTTTTCCCTCTTTTCTTAATGAAGTCTTCAATCTCAGTCAATGCATGATTGTGTAACTGTTCCCTACTATATCTCATCGTTCTCATTCCTGTTTTTTTCCTGAGATTATATGCGATGTCTTCAGATAGTTGATCTACATTTGCTCGGCATAATTCTATTGGGTTTACAACTTCATTAAATAAAAGAATTGTTACAAATAGCTGTCATAACTATGTTCCAGTAGCCCATATTGATGCT